CAGCACTGTCAATCCCAGATGGTAGTTTAGGATTATTTCCCTAAGAGTATAAAGCTGTACAAAATTGTTACTCAGAAGGAGGTTCCACGGAGCTTGCTCCCAAATAAACTTGTATAGGATTGCAGCTCAAAAAAGCAATGGACAGTGTCAAATTTGCAGCAATTTCTGGGCTGGGTCAAATGCTTTCTGCAGTTTGGGAACCCTTTGAATTATGGTTTGGAAGATATTGTGAATGGGAGCTCTTGTGTCATTATCTTTGAAAGAGAAAATAGATGTCCTAATATCTACATACCTGTCAAATAGTGCACTCACGGGGGGAGGGGAGGGGAGAGCAACTGCAAGAATAATAACAACATTTACTAATGATCAGGTTAGTATGGTTTTTTTTTAATGGAGATGGACAAAAGATAAGATGTGTGGGCAGTCTTACAACCTGAAGTGCCTGGTTTGAAACATAAGAGCTACAGTGATATTAATGTTAACTACCACAGGGAAGGCTTACACTCTCGTTTAATGGATTTTATGATGCACCATATAAGCTTCGAATGCTTCACTACCTTTTTTGGATTTTAACCAAATTATAGGCAAAGTGAATTCAGTGAAATAAAGCTCCTTTTTATATTTCATAGTCCGCAATCCTATGCAGGCATACTTACGAGTAACTATCATTGGACTCAGCTGGGGCCTACTCCCAAGTAAACATGTATATACAATTGTTCTGTGCGATATTATCCTCTCACAATAATCTCTAGGGAAGGGAAAATGTACGATACAATTAACTGTGCTATGGAGCTCAGTAGTGAGGGGGAAGGTTAAATCATGCCAATTCTGGTTTCAGTAATCAGCTTTGCTAGTAGATTAGGGATATGTGTCTGTATTAGAAGGTGTAAATCTCCTGTAGGCTGGAACACAGGGCACATAAATAACACCACTGCTGTGAGTTCTTTGGAATATGTGAAGATCTGATGCCCGCCTAAGCCTAAGATGTGACATAATAAGGCAGAGGGTAAGGTGGAATTTAGTTTAGATTTGTAGATGGATTCCATTGCTTGGATTTGCTTTTCATATGGCTGTAACTCTGCAATCCTATGCATGTCTACTCAGAAGAAAACTGACCTAAGTAGGATTTGCTCCTAGGTGGAATTTATGTAGGATTGCAGCCTAAAGGCAGCTTCATATCTTTAAGTACATCTCACTTGCTGACTGTCCAAGTGTCTAAAGCAGGGATGTGGAAGCTGAGTGCTGAATGCAGTTCACCAGTGCAAGTAGATAAATAGGTACCACTGTGGCGGGAAGGTAAATGGCGTTTCCGTGCGCTCTGGTTTCCATCACGGTGTTCCATCCCACCAGAAGTGGTTTAGTCATGCTGGCCACATGACTGGAAAGCTGTCTATGGACAAACACTGGCTCCCTCGGCCTGAAAGCAAGATGAGCGCCGCAACCCCATAGTCGCATTTGACTGGACTTAACCGTCCAGGGGTCCTTTACCTTTACCTTCACAACTGTAACGTAGTGAATTGAGCAGAATAGAAGGAGAGACTGGGCAAATTTTGGCCTTGCATTGGGTGCCGCTGAATTTTTGAAAACCAAAGTCTGCCACTGGTGGCCGCCTGATGTCTACAGGACCACAGGCTCGGACACAGTGGGCCCTGCCACTGCATGCGAATCCTGGCAACTGCCTATGTGTGCCTGGTGCTGATACCAAGCCTGCTCATCAGTGTCCCTTCAGATTTGGGCAAAGAAAGGTACAGTGGTACCTTGGGTTAAGTACTTAATTCGTTCCGGAGGTCTGTTCTTAACCTGAAACTGTTCTTAACCTGAAGCACCACTATAGCTAATGGAGCCTCCCGCTGCCGCCACACCGACGGAGCACGATTTCTGTTCTCATCCTGAAACAAAGTTCTTAATCCGAGGTACTATTTCTGGGTTAGCGGAGTCTGTAACCTGAAGCATCTGTAACCTGAAGCGTATGTGACCCGAGGTACTACTGTATATAGCACTGCACAGAGAATCGTAAGATAGGGCTACTTGTCCTTAATCAAATAGGAGGGCACCAGGCTTGGTTATATTCAGTAGAGAAGGAAATGTACTCTGCATATATATTAGAGGCACTTTGTGTTAGCAGAGATCCAGGTCATGCTAATGCAAGCAAGGGATTTTGTAGCCGTGATTGCTGAAGGGCTGGAGGTCCAAACATACAGTATGCACAGGTCCAAGAAAGATACACAGGTGAGCTGAAGTGGCAAATAATGTAGGATGCACACATGCGCCTCCACCAGTGCCACACCACCTCCAGGATTCAACAGCCTGCTCCCAGCTATTTCCTGCACTTGCACTTTGCACTTGCAAAAGGTTATGCTCTGCACACTCTTCTTTATTATTGGGTGGTTAGGCAAGATTAAAATGTTCTTCTAGTGCATGAAAAAAAAATCTACTCGGAGAGCTGAGTGAATAAACAGCGTTGGAGGTCTCAAACGTTTTGTAGTAATTCTAAAACTCCGTATGAATTGTCCCGCAGTGCGATAAGGGAGGCTACCCATGGCTCCCTCTGCTGTTCATAAACACTGTTCTTGCCTGTCCCAGGAGCAACGTCAATAGCACAAGGCATTTTCTCCTATGAACTGTGTTCTTGATGTTCCCAGTCTCTGCTGGATCGAAGAACAAATGTGCAAGCCAAACTGTGATACCCTGCGATGGCAGCTGTGTTCAGACAGAGGGCTTGGGATGTTATTAAATCACTGAAAGTAGAAAAATGCCACGTGAAGGCTGAAAGTGTATCCTTAACCCCCCACCTCCTTGTATACCAGCATAGCAGGACAAAACCATACGTGATTGCTGCTTTTGTTCCATTACAATAACAGCTAGGCAGACTGTAGCATTTCACCACTTCCAAGTATAAAAATTACTGGATCAGGCTGGATTTTGGGGTGGAATTTGAAATGTGCCAAATTCCATACTGAGAGCCATTCAGAACTTTCACATTACATGAAGATAGGTTTGTGATTTGGCTGCATTTGTTTTGTCCCCAAATTGCAATTTGCATTAGAAAGTAATAGCTTTGAATCTTATCCCTCTGATCCCCCCCCACCCCCAGTTTAAGGTAAGAACAATAAGTGAACACATTTTAACATCAGAAATAAGCACATAGTATACATCTTCAAAACATTTATTTATTGCTGCTTTGAATGTCAGTAATTGATAAGTGACTTTACTCTTTCTAAGTACTAAGTATTTAATTTCTTCATCTTTAGTTGTACATAATTCAATTTTATTTGTTTTTATAGTTGATGCTTTTTTATTGTTTTCTAATGCAATTTTTACAGAGGTCAAACAAATCCATACAAAATTATACCGCAGAGAGGGAGTCTTGTGTATTTGTTGTATCTGTAATAAAATCCCACTAGTGGGACTTATTTTAAAGTAAAAGGTTCAGGATTAGGTTGCTACACGCTGCAAACTTTCTCTGGATTGCACCTATTGTACAACAACAGCATATTATCAAAACTGACATGACTGGGGTGCTTTGTGGTATTAAACATTAGAACAATAATTTTTGTCTGCTAAATTGGCTTTGGATTGTGCAAAGTAATACCTACTGTATTGTGAAAAGCTGCAAAATAACATATTATTAAAGCTGCATTCTAGCCTCCACTATCCCTTTTCTTTTTTCTCAATTAGCACTTCTTTAAGAAATAAGGCAACATTTTTATTTTTACTGTGTAATCATTCGGTTCATGCAGGAAACATTGTTTCATGAATATCTTAACAGGTTCCTCAGTTTTCCATGCAAGGCTCCCAAGGACATGACAAGAGCACAATTAAACTGCAATTAAGTCATTTTGCTTAACTTTTTGCCTGCTGTCTAGCAAATATCCTGGGGTCTATTATTATTGCCCACAAGCATTAGCAAATTAGCCATATCCTTTCCCAGCAGGGATTGAGTCTGTTCCTTGAAGTCATCTTGCTTCTGCTTCTTTCGCTTGAATGGAAGTTTCTTCTTAAAGCCAAATTGTTTAAGTGCTCTGGCGGCAAAAAGCCCCACTGAAGTTGGCAGTTACTGGCGGGCTACTTATCAGATCACAGGAATGCATGATTCTTGGAACAAAATCAATGTTTGACGCATTATTCTGACACCTAGTGACAGTTTTTTAAACATCTGAATTGCTCCAATCGCTGTCAAATTTATAAAATCGCCAATATTCAGCTTTGGTATGATTGTTGCTGTGCCTCCATGTGGATGAACACAGGAAGATGCCTTATACCAAGTGAGACAATTGCTCCATCTATTTCAGTGTGGTTTTTGCTGCTGGACTACACTTTTAAGGTGTTTTAGACAGGGGTCTCTCACAGCCCTACCTGGAGACTGAACCAATACTTACCAGTGAGTGGATCATCCAAGATCATATGGGTCACAAGTGGCCAGCACACCAGTCTACCCATGAACTCATTTTTTAAAGAGCTTTGTGTCAGGAGGAAATTTCACAGGTGTGCTTTCTTCCATGTCACTGCTGTGCTAATAAAAGAAATAGCACCAGCTCTTTAAAGATAATTTTTGGGGGGGGGGGGCGGGGAGCAAGTTTGAAGCGTCTGCAGCTAGACTTGACTGTTTACAGTGGTTGGCTTGTTTGTGTGAAATCATTTGCGTGTTGACTTAAGTTTAAGCATGTTGTGAGCCATCTTTGCGGGAGGATGGACAGTTTTTTGGAGAACAAATGATAATGGAAATGGAAACATCCCAAAGAGGATACAGGATTCTGTTAGATCTTCTTCACCCTATCCTGTCCTTCAGGCAGATTAAAGTACTTTTTAATTTGATTTATAATCATAAAATGGTGACCAAAGCAGCTTCATGTCTAAGTGGGGATATGATGAAAATAGGGACCCTCCGTTCCATGACGATATTTATATCCCGTCCATCCGACTGCGTTGCCCCAGCCACTCTGGACGGCTTCCAACATAAACAAAAACACGATAACACATTAAACATTAACAAATTTCCCGATTAGATGCCTTCTAAAGGTTGTAGAGTTACTTATTTCCTTGGTTGTTGTTGTTGGGTTTTTTTGGGGGGGCGGGGAGTTGCATAACTGAAATCGCCTCTGTCCAAAGAGTCAACGCAGATGTATTTACATATTGCACTTTGCAACACAGTATATGTGCCGCTTTCGGGCAGTGGAAGGGAAGCGGGCGCCACGATAGCGGCCCAAGAGATGCGACAGTAGGAGCACATGGGAAATGATGCCTCCTGGGGCGAAGAAAGCAGGACAAGCCGCGGCTGCAGCGCCTAGTGGCTAACGCGCCTGTTTCCAAAGACACAGCGGCTGCCAATAGCCTAACCAGAGTCTGCAGCCGTCGAGTTCGGCCCTGAGAAACATCCCAGCACGCACTGCGAGAGAACGAACTACAACCCCCAGAGTACCCCTCTACGACGTATTCGGACCCCTAAGGATCATGAAGCGCGGTGCATGCTGGGAACGGTAGTTCACATTTGAAAGTGCAGACGCCTGACGGGTAGGCCTCCGTCCGCCCGAGCTCTGCGACACGGTAAGGAAAGGCGGGAAGGCTCGCATCCCCGGCATAGCCCAGCTTAGACACCGAGTAAATCCCTTCACACGGTCGGGCAGGCCAGGGTTTTTTTTTCCCCGCTGCCGCTTTCGGTAACCCTCGCTTCCAGGATTCCGCTGGATTTTGTTCGGTGCTGCTGCCCCCTCGCGGCGCGCTTGTGGCGTTAACCTTTCCCAAGCAGCCGTTGCTCCAGGCGTCGCAGCTGCGGCGACTCCGGCCCTTTTAATTGCTTTAGGCGCATGCGCATCTGTTCGCTATAAGCGCGTGCAGAGGGCGGCGTCGTGTGGCGGATCCGCACTTTTGCTGCTAAGGAACAAGGGAGGAAAGTCGCCGCCGCTGCTTTGCGTGGCCGTTGGGAGGACGCTCCTTAACGCTTGGGGAGAAGGTTACCGCACCTCCCTCCAGGGGGAAACCTAGGGGGAGTGTTTACCTATAAATTATTGTTGTTAAAATTTATTAAATTTATATAATGTGGATATAAATGACTGTTGGCTGCAGCTTGCAATTTACTGTCCAATGCACAGGTGCCAGAGGAAGGCGGGGAACTGTGGCAACTTTACTGTCCTGCTCTGTTTTTCTGGTGACGGGGTGTGAGGAGAAGTTTATTTTGGGGTGTCCATTTCACATATTGTGTGAAGCTGTTTTAGGAGTTGGGAAAAGACTTGGTTCGTGGCTCTTATTTCCCATCGACTTAAGTGGGCCTTCCATTTCCTCCTCAAAATTGCACTTATTTGCTGCGGGAGAAGGTCTTAGTCGAGAACTTAAACTCTGAGGAAAGGTGCAGTCTTTCACAGGTCTGCTTAGAAGTAAATCCCATTGTGTTTAATGGGGATTTACTCCACAGAAGTACATGGGATGGTAGCTCAGCAACTCTCCCATACAACCTCTGCCCTTCCCCATTGGGAAAGAAATGCTGTTATTAACACTTAACCTGGGTTGAAGGGAAAGAGCAGTTTCCACATTTTGCAATAAGCAGCAAAATGCTTTTAAAGTATGTTTTAACCGTGGCACCTGCTTCAGTGGAGACTTTCACTGGTTATTACTTTTTCTCCCTTTAAATACATTAAGTGTGGTTTAATTTATTTTCATATTAAATAGGGCTTGTTGCTTGGCAAAAATAAAGCCATTGATTTAAAATTTTCTTCATAACTTTTTGACAGTGGTTAGAACCTGAATATTTGCGAAAGTGATAGCTGTATATGTTTAGATAGACACACCTCCCTCTGCCCTTTCTACAATTATGCACCAAAGAATGTTAATTTATTTATGTAATCCATAAAACTTTACACTGCTTGATTGTAATAAAAAAGCACAAAGATAAAACAAGAAAATGAAAAAAAAATCACAATAGTATTTTAAAATATACAAAGGTTAAACTACTAAACAGACTATGTAGCTAGCGGTGATTTAGTAGACATGCCACATGGATTTGTATAACTTTGATTTAGCATCCACCTTCCCAGCCTCAAACTGATATGTGTTGTCTGATCTTTATGCTAACCCTTTTTTATTTCTCCAGACAATTTTTCATGTGACTGATATGTTTGGTTTAGAAACTTTGAAAAATTAAGTGAACAAAGAAGTTACTGCGCAGCTGAAAATCAGATTTTACTCTAGCACAAAACACAGGCATAGTTGGGTGTTTAAATATTCTCATTGATTTTCCATTTCCTATTTGTACAGGCACTTCACAAAAGAAATGCAAAAGGCTAAGAGTATGCAGGCAATGCCATAGAAATAGACTGTATCATACACGCCTCAGGCAGCATTTATCACTTCAAAGCAATTGCACTTCATATCCATTTCAGGACTAGTGTATGGGTTGTGGTTACACTATGTTTACACTAAGGGAGGCTATGTGAATATGGTTATAAAGTAGTCTCCTTTAAGTGGCTTGCTGATTTGAACTTCAAGCACTTTAAGAGTATGAGAGGAGTGCAGGGCAGTGTTAACCACACACCTGGCACTGGTTTTGTAATTATGTAAGCAAAAACATTTTTGAGTGACACAGGCAGGTGGGCATGAATGGAATGATTTGCTTCTGTGGCAAAGCTTGTCTGTCTTGTTAGCCTCTTATGCTTCCTTCAATACGTTGCTTGTAGGTGCACTGTGTGTGTGTGTGTGTGTGTATAGATAGATATAATATCTATCATCTATCTATCTGCTATATACATAAAGATCCTTAGGTCTGTCTGACAGATGTGTCAGAATCATTGAAGTATTTCCAGAACACCCAGAAATCTGAAATTGGGAAAAGATGCACACCAACACTTCTTAAATATTAATAAGGTCTGGAAGCAGGGTACTTTAATTTATCACTATCAAAATAGAATATGAAGTGTGATGGCAACACATTGCAAGCCAGGGTGCAAATGAAGCAGTATGTTGGGCCAGACTTAGGTAAGGTAATAATGGGTCAAGTCACATTTCTGTGGGAGTTCACCAGTCCCTGTTTTAATAAAGGTAAAAGGTAAAGGTACCCCTGCCCGTACGGGCCAGTCGTGTCCGACTCTAGGGTTGTGCGCCCATCTCACTTAAGAGGCTGGGGGCCAGCGCTGTCTGAAGACACTTCCGGGTCACGTGGCCAGCGTGACGAAGCTGCTCTGGCGAGCCAGCACCAGCGCAGCACACGGAAACGCTGTTTACCTTCCCGCTATAAAGCGGTACCTATTTATCTACTTGCACTTGGGGGGGGCTTTCGAACTGCTAGGTGGTCAGGAGCTGGGACCGAAAGATGGGAGCTCACCCCGCCGCGGGGATTCGAACCGCCGACCATGCGATCGGCAAGTCCTAGGCACTGAGGTTTTACCCACAGCGCCACCTGCGTCCCTGTTTTAATACTTGGAAGAAAAGGGTGACTTTGCTGGCAGCTGATAGTGCAAGAGTAATAGCCAATTTGCCTTCCAGAAGATAGACTCCAACAGGCTTTGGAATGTACAGCCCTCCAGATGTTAGACTGCAACTCAATGGTCAGTGGTCGGGGATGGTGGGAATTGTAGGCCACAACATCTGTAGGGTGTATAAATTTGGCCATCCTTGTGATAGTACTGGCTAAAAGATAATAAAAGCAATAATAAAAAATAATTGCAAACCCCCCTGTAGCATGTAAACATTCTGTACAATTTATGACCATTCCATCTTTTCATGCCAGTATAATAAATGTAATGCCAACACACATTTTGTCCGTCTGTACTATCAATATTTTGTTAACTGTTCATTGAAGATGTCAAGGGTCTGTGCCATTTTTGGAGGATCTCGGGGAATTGGCCATGCTGTTGCCCAACTGCTAGCACAGAAAGGATATTGCCTGGCCATTATTGCCAGAAATCTGGATAGAGCTCAAACTACTGCAAAGAACTTGGGAGGTATGTATACCTTAGTGTTTTTGCAAAATGTGTTGAACTATTAAAGTAATACATGCGTGTTAAATAAAGTAGCATGATTATTTTACACTGAATTTGAATATTGCAGATCTGATAGTACAACCCCTACATAATACAGTGGTACCTCGGGTTACATACACTTCAGGTTACGTACACTTCAGGTTACAGACTCCACTAACCCAGAAATAGTACCTCGGGTTAAGAACTTTGCTTCAGGATGAGAACAGAAATCGTGCTCCGGCGGCATGGCAGCAGCAGGAAACCCCATTAGCTAAAGTGGTGCTTCAGGTTAAGAACAGTTTCAGGTTAAGAACGGACCTCTGGAATGAATTAAGTACTTAACCCGAGGTACCACTGTATAGTATAAGATAAGGGTCTGGTTAATAGTTGATGAGTGACATGGGGAATTGTTGGTTCTTTGTAATGTAAAAATGTGTACTCTGTCGGTATCAGACTTCGTTTCCAATCATATAATTAGTATATTATTTTCTAGGATCCACATGCTAGCTAACAGCTCTCTGTCTGTATTTATGATACTTGCAGTCTCTGAATGTTTTGAGAAAGTTTGTATCTTATTGCGGACTTTGTGCCAACACAGCAGGTCATCTAGCATTTAGATGCGATGTTTCCAAAGAAGAAGACATCCAAAATGTGTTTAAAGAAATGGAGACAAGTTTAGGTCAAATAAACTATCTGGTTAATGCTGCAGGTATCAACAGGTTAGTTTCCAATTTAAGCTTCTATCAAAGGTACACTTTTGAAAATATCTAACATAAATAAATATACAGGTATAAAATAGTGTGGTTTATTTTGTTTTAGAGTTTAAAATCAAAGATTTAATTTGTATCTAAAAGTATGTGGAACAAATTTCATTAGATTGATTTGATATTCTTTGATTTAAGGTAGTTGAATTAAAATATCATTATCCTAAAAGGACTGTTTCATTTGCTGCAGCCTTTATACTGATCAAAAGCTGATTTTGGAGGGGCTCTTTATCTACCTTCATCTTGTTGAAACAATAGCATAATCAGTATTCTGGGTAAGCCTTTAGGGATTGTTATAATTCACTACAATTATAGGGTGACTTCTAGTGGGCAAAGGTGCATAGATAAAACATTCTGGAGTATCCCTACTAATAAGACAAAGGTTGCCAATTGAGATTATTAGTGCTTAATAAAACAACACAGGGTACTCAACTTCATAATGAACTCATTTAGTTTTGCACTTCAGTGTTTTTCTAGTTTAAAACAATATATTATTATTAGCAAAGTGGCTGAAATTGTTAATTTTCAGTGTATTGTAATTAATTATGCTTGATTATATTGGCCTGTTTCTTTCATGAGACTAAACAATAGTATTTCTATTTTCCACTGTCCTTTTTTAATATTAGGGATGGCTTGTTGTTGCGAACCAAGGCTGATGATATGTTATCCCAGCTTCAGACCAATCTTTTGGGGACAATGTTGACATGCAAAGCTGCTGTGAAGGGTATGATTCAGCAGCAAGGTGGAGCTATTGTTAACGTAGGTGTGTCTGCCTAAACAAATATGATTATTTTCAATTGATACTAACTTTTCAAGAATCAACATATGGTATGTTACAAGTTCTCCTATATAAACTCATGCAGTTGAAGTCCTCAGCATTGTGCAATCAGAGTGTAACAAAAGGCAAATGTATTCTTCTTGTGTAAGATGTTCATACAGTAAGCCTTTTTCTCATTTTATAGAACTGCATATTCACTCCCACTGTTCTCTCAAAAAGTGTTTTCCAGCTTCTCTGAGGCTGCAGTCCTATACACACACACACACACACACACACACACACACACACACCTAGGAATATGTCCTATTGAACTCAATGAGGCTTAATTTTGAGTAGATATTCATAGCATGACTTTGTAAGAAAATTAAAAGCTGCTTATGATGCAGCGGGATGTGGTGTCTGCAGTTAGGGAAAACAAGAGGGGAAATCTGTTCTACCTGCTTGCCTGCCAGACAACACACCTCTCTGGAGTTGTGCCCATAAATGCAATTTTGAATTCATGGGTGCCCACTGGACATCCTAGATCAGGGATAGGGAATGCCTGGTCCTCCCTTGACCCAGTTCCTATAATCTAGTATGTTTGTGATATAGCTATATTTTATTCTTAGCTTTTTGTTGTAAGCATCTTTGGCAGTAGTGTAGAAGGTGGGTTACAAATAGCATTAAATAAATAAGCAAATATTTTTAGGAGAAATTCTGTGATTTATATTTATGTCTGAAAGAGTTATTCTCTTTTCTAGAACCAAAGAGCTCCATAGATAATGCCTAATGGCTTCACAACAGTCCTCGGGAAACACACTGGAAGTGACTATTTTTTAAAATGTTGATAAAATAGAAAAATTCTGCATGTAGGTGGTTTTAAAACACAGAGTAGCAGGACAAGCTAAAAGTAAGAGAAATATTTGAGCCGCTCAGGGTTTTTTTTGTTTAAATAGACTGACTTGATGCCAGGTTCATTTTATTTTGCATACAAAAAACAGATAAATATAAAACCATATGAGGTAATACAGGGAAATGTCAGGGTTAACTGACACCATCTTTCCTCTTTAACCACTTCCTAAATAGATAATAACAATCATATTTATTCTAGTTGTAGACTTTTGTGAGTTCTCTGGCACCTGAGAGTACTGTACACTCACTGTCTGAGGGGACAGTGGGGCTTGCTGAGGTGTGGGAGGAAAGGAGAAATCAACCAGCTTGCCATCTGCTACTACTTCTGACCTTCTCCCTTTGCCCTATTGCAAGGGTTTGGGTTCTCGCTTGTATTTTCATATGGCTGGGACTGTAACAGCCTGTAATTCATTAAGTGCATGCTTGCTTTTCAGCATAAGGCCTTTGTGTACATTAGGCAAAAAAGATAAGGCATTAAAAATATTTAATTAAAAGTTAAAGATCAATACAGCTACTATTAAAAATGTCCAGTTCTGACTATAGTTTCTAAACTTTGGCTTTGTCTGTCTTTCCCTTTGGTTTATTTTAGGAAGTATCGTTGGGCTGAAGGGCAATTCTGGTCAGAGCGTATACAGTGCCAGCAAAGCAGGATTAGTTGGATTTTCACGCTCTCTTGCTAAAGAAATAGCAAGAAAGAACATTCGAGTCAACATGGTTGCTCCAGGTTAGTTTTTAGTTCAACTGTCACTTGTGAATCAGTACATAAAATCAGATGCTTTTAGGTCCTTATATACTGAATTTAATGCACAATATTGCTATCAGTCCGATAATTGCATCAGTTACATACTTAACAGGTAAAGCAACGGTGGGGAACCTTTCACCCTCCAGATGTTGTTGGACTCCAACGGGAGTTTTCCACCTGCCTTGCTCCACCCTCCAGCCCTTGGATCCCTAGGGGCCTTCAGAATGGTGCTGCTGCCACAGGCATTATGTCTGTGTGTGGTCATGAAGTGGGTGGAAGACTGTGAGTCATAGGGATGGCGAGTGTGTGTGTGTGTGTGTGTGTGTGTGTGTGTGTGTGAATCCAGCAGTGCTTAGTTTGTTTTTGATTGTTAAGTTGTTAATGTTGCTAGTATTGTTTTGTGGATTATTATTACTGCAATGCCTTGTGAGTTTTATAAAATGACTTCTCTTGTGGTTGTGCTGTTTAGCCTATTTTTTAAAGTTGTTTTGTTATTAGAGTTCTATAGACAGTGGTTGTTTTACTGATAATTTGTTAATTATTTTATAAGGTTTATGTTGTGGTTGTGATGTTATTTATGGTGTGTAAGCTGCTTTGTGACTCATGTGAGTGAAAAGCTGCGAAGAAATAATAATAAAACATCTAGATAGGCTTGTCTAAATTAGAATGTCTTTAGCAAGTGCCAAAAAGAGTACAGTGAGGATGCCTGCATGATATCAATAGGCAGGGAGTTCCAAAGTGTAGGTGCTGCCGCACTAAAAATTTGAGTTGAGTAACACTTGAGTGAGGATATATGGGGTAAGACAATCTCATAGGTAAACTGGTGCCAAGCTGTTAAGATATTTATATACTAATAGTAACACCTTTAGCTTGGCCCAGTAGCAAATCAGCAGCCAGTGCAGTTCTCTGAGCATAGGTGTTCTATGCTGCTAAGTCCCTCTTTCAGCAGTTGTGTTGTAGCATTCTGGACTAACTGAAGTTTCTAGATCAGGTAAAAGGGAAGCCCTTCATAGAGTGCGTTGCATCAATCTAGTCATGAAGTAGCCAATTCATGAGCTACTTTGGCCAGGCTTTTCAGGTCCAGGAGTGGCTGAAGCCGACAAACCAAGTGGAGTTGGTAAAAGGCATTTTGAGCCAGTGATGCTACCCGAGTCTCCAATTACAGGGATGGATCTGGAAGCACCCCTAAACTGTAAACCTGCTCTTCAGGGGGAGTGTAACCATATCCAGGGTAGGCAATTGACCAGGTCCTTGGACATGGAAACTACATACTCATAGCGCCTCCGTCTTGTCAGGTTTCAAGCTCAGCTTGTTTTCCCTCATCCCAAGCAATAGCCCAGGGGTTGCACAGCCTCTCCTGATTCATGCAGATACAGTTTTCAAACTGTTTTGCTTTAGTAAAAACATTTCTAAAAATTTCCTAAAACGTAACTGTGTGGTGACTGCACGACTGAACAGATGAATCATTATCTGCTTGGCAAAATACAAACAGCCTTAATACTTTTATGTATGTACACGTGCAGCAGGTGGAGTTCTTGCATTAACTCCTGTAGTTTACCTTGAACAACTCAGTTTGAGTGTGTCCCTACTAACCACAGCAAGATGTCGTTTTGAATATTAACACCTTTTGACATCTCAGCAAGCCTCTAGCAGCACACTAAGTAAAGTCCCTGGATGTGAGAATTTAACCTCCAACCTCAACCCAAGGCATTTCAAATGCACTGTCTCTCTTCATTTTATTCAATTCTGATGTTCTGTGATTTTATCCTGCTAAGGCTATCTGTGTAGGAATTGCTTTGTACAGTACTTATTTTATAGTGCAGTGCACCTTTCCATAACTGAAATGTTTCTGTCAGCTTGCAGAGACTGTAGTGGAAAGCATGGGCTCTGGTAGCCTAAATATGGAACCTTACCTTCTCTTTCACTCCAAACCTTAACTTGATCCAAGTTGGAAACAGATCTTGGACTTGTTTTCTGCCCATCATTAAATGTATAAGTTCATGTCTATAGTGGCCGAGCACGCAGTCATTTGAACACAGGATGTGCTTTTCACAGTAACGTAAAACCCTGGTTTGAATAAGAGAACTCCCAAAGATTCTGTGGACTATGCAAGGCTGAGATTGCTACTGCAGCCATCCAAACTCCATGTGTTATAAGATAGGGAACAGAAGTGGCACCTGAACCAGGCCCTCTGTATTCTTTAGTTTAAATAAGTTTAAACTGGCTTGGCTCGCACAGCATTTTAAATCACAGTTAAATATAGTTTAAAGGTGCACAGTGCTAAAACTGCAGGTACTTTGTTTCTCCCTCACTCTTGTTGCTGGTTTGTTGCCAAGAACTAAACCAGGGTTTGACTTACCATTACAGCTGAACCCAGGCTCGGGGGTTGTTTCCCTCCAAACAAACCACAAGCTGTATGAAGGCTTGCTGTCAGGTTACCGCCCATGGATGATTTGGGGAAAACCAGCCATAGGCCTGGGTTTTGATGTAATGCTAAGCCAAACCATGGTTTATCTCCCAGCAACGCAGCAGAAGTATGGGAGGAGTTAAGTGGCATGCAACAGCATGCTTTAAACAATAGCTAAGTTGGTTAGATATAGTTTTAGAGGTACACCTCATTGAAATCAGTAGTGGGACTTAATGTGAAACAAACATGGTTAGAATGGGGCTATGTATGTAAGAATTTGAATGCGTAAAATTTGTCACAGTTTCTGGACTGCTGTTTCCAGTTTCAAGAAGTTTTAGATAAGTTTGAATACACAAATATTTCTTTCCTTAAATGGTTTTTTAGTTGTGCAACTATGCTTTGCATTTTGACAGACTCTTGAGCTCAGGAAACTACCGTATTTTTTGCTCTATAAGACTCACTTTTTCCCTCCTAAAAAGTAAGGGGAAATGTGTGTGCGTCTTATGGAGTGAATGCAGGCTGCGCAGCTATCCCAGAAGCCAGAACAGCAAGAGGGATTGCTGCTTTCACTGCGCAGTGATCCCTCTTGCTGTTCTGGCTTCTGAGATTCAGAATTTTTTTAATCTTGTTTTCCTCCTCCAAAAACTAGGTGCATCTTGTGGTCTGGGGCGTCTTATAGAGCAAAAAATACGGTACATAGTTGTGATGATAGTAGTTTTATCAGGATTTGACTAGGTCTTATTTCATAAACATATTTTCTCTCCCCCCCCAAATGTTAGGCTTTATTCACACAGATATGACAACACACTTGAAAGAAGAGCAGTTGAAGAAAATTATTCCCCTTGGACGATTTGGGGAGCCTCAAGAAGTTGCCAAAGCTGTTGCATTTCTTCTGGAGTCTCCGTATGTAACAGGCCAAGTTCTAGTTATTGATGGAGGTTTGCAACTTTTGTTTTAAAAGCCATGATAGCATAGTCAGTGAGTGTGGGAAAACATATTCAGCAGTTGAAAGTCCCAAGAAGTGGTTTCAGGTGATACTTCTTTTGTTAGTATTTTAAATTAAAGTAGTATAAATTTGTAGTTAGTATGACAAACTTCAAATCATATGCTTACTTGTCTGTTTGCCTCAGGTAAATAAGCAAATTATGTGTGACACCAGATTTTTTTTGGGGGGGGTAGATGATTCAGGGTCCCATTTTTGTTTTTTGTGTATACAGTGGTGCCCCGCAAGACGAATGCCTCGCAAGACGGAAAACCCGCTAGACGAAAGGGTTTTCCGTTTTTCAATGCGCTTCGCAAGACGAATTTCCCTATGGGCTTGCTTCGCAAGACGAAAATGTCTTGCGAGTCTTGAGATTTTTTTCCCGCCCCCCCCTTTTTTCTAAGCCGCTAAGCCTTTAATAGCCTTTTAGCAGCTAAGCCGCTAAGCCTTTAATAGCCGCTAAACCGCTAATAGCGCTAAGCCGCTAATAGGGTTGCTTCGCAAGACGAAAAAACCGCTAGACGAAGATACTCACGGAACGGATTAATTTCGTCTTGCGAGGCACCACTGTATATTGAAATGAAATGATCTGGTTTTTTTAAACAACAACAACAGTGCTACATGTTACCAAATACACTAATTGTGACATAGACCTTGCTTCATCAGATTTGTTCTTTCTGCATAGAAAGCTTAATGCAGCTCTCCTTCCAAAAGTTGGTCTATTTTTAGTTCATTCTGTAAGTAAAGTATGATCTTTTTCATAGTTTATGTTGGAAAACTTTGGTGTTCTACTTGGAGACGCAAAGGAAACTGATGATAAACTGCTTAGGAATGTTGAATGCTTGGTTATATAGGGCACACTCCATGCATATTTATTTTGTTTCTCCTATGAAGTGGTTGCTAACAAAGAATACAATATGCTGAACTTCATAACCTTAGGTTTCTTAAATAAAACACTAATTTTCAAAGGTTTTTTCCATTCATTCAAAGTACTTGAAATGGTGAAAAATTATTATTTAGATGTGACATTTTCTAGCCGTCTCCTACTTGAAGCATAAATATTTGTTTTTTCTATCACGTTAGAAAGGGCTATATATATATATATTCACTTCATACATTAAAAGCTATCTAGTCTATATTCTTATTCTGGATGCTTTATGGCTCTTTGGCACCAATATACCTCTTTATCACAAACAAATATTTTGTGTCTACTACAGTATCTGGATAACAGAAAAGTTCAACTGTGTGCTATATTGTTACGTGCCACCCTTAACTCCGAACATTGTGATATTCTGGGGGGTTGCAGGTGTGCTTTAACGCAGGGTTTGTTTTTCCTGTGGGACAATAAGGCACAGTGGAAACTAGTGTCTTTATGATATTTGGTGTATTTGCACATGAAAAACCTGCAGCCTAGATGGAGGGGCTCACAGTATTGGCACCCCAAAAGGTCGTTGCTTCTTTCATAGTCTTGCATTCAAATGAACAGCAACCATCATGTTTTGCCTCCTCCTCTAGCTTATGTCCTTGCTAACGCCTAACTTTCCTTCTGTACTCTAAACTCTCCTAAAACACCGGCCTTGTCTTTTAAGCTAACTCAGTTGAGAGAGGGAGGAAACCCACACATGCAAATGTAATTAGCCTTTCCCTCCTTTGTGTCGTTTAAATGGTTCATCCCTAGGCTAACACCTCAGAAGGAAATTACCTGTAATAATTAGCTTTTACACTTGGCTTAATTAAAGGATTAAAGGTCTAGCATACACCTTAAATGCACACTTGAGTCTAGCTATCATGTCCTAGGAAATCAGCTTTGACACCCCAAACCTTAATTGAATTCTAGTGCTAATTTGATCCAGAATTTAGGTGGTCCTGCATTCCAGATTCATGAAAGTACATGAATTTTCCTACTATTTTTTTATTTGCACAATTATCTAGCTTAAAAATGTGAAATCTTATTAGTGGTGGCTAAGTTGCCAGTTTGTTTTTTTAAAAAAACTGCTTTTTTATTTTACAAAAGTTACAATATGCAAAATCATAAGAAGCTTTCTTATAACATAAAAATATTTCTAATATTAAAAAATTAAGTATAATATATATATATATAAAAAATGAACTCATCAGAACTCAGACACATAGAAAAACTCAATGAGGAGAACTTTTAATAGGAAAAATACTTATCTCTTTATTAGATTTATTTAGTAATAATGCCTGCAAACCAGGAAGGGATAATATTAAGGGCTGTTTCCCCTTCTTATTGTTCAAATCCATTAAAACCTTCCCCCCTTCCATAGAATCCAAGAAATCATGCTTAATATTGTAAAATCCCAAAATTTAATGTATCTGTGCCAACTAAGGCTGTTGCAAGTAGGAGTTCAACAACTGGAGAGTGCCATGTTGATTATTATTTCTCTAAACTTCTCTATTCCAAAATAATTTAGATATTCCATAAATTTTCCTTGTAATTACTTGCCATAGCCCTGTCCATTCCACGTTCCCAACCATTAGATCCAGGGGTGCCAACTTGAATAAAATATTGGGGGGCAGGTAAGTCCCGTCCTGCATAATTGATCACAAGATGCGGCACACACACACTATTTGAATGGCAAGGCCCATAAACTTTGGGGCCCCCCAGGCTCCTCAGATATTTTACTGGGGGGCAAAAGGAATCTCAGGTCCTAGGAGTTGGCTCCTGTGATTAGATCTGTTTGTATTATAAATCCTAAATAATCTGACAGAGATTAAGAACCAGGTTGTCCACATCTTATTAAGGTTTGAAGGGTCATGCATTTGTTGATATTTAACCAGATATATTTCTAAATGTCATCAGAAGTATATTTTCTAGTCATTACTTCTCATTCCTGGAATAACTGATCAGTTGCTTTATACAATAAAAGTCTCAAAATGATTTGTCAGAATAAAATAGAGCACATTAAAACAGTATGAAACCAGAAAAATGGGGGGAGGGGGAATGACAATACAAAATGTATAAAATGCTCATTCAGCAACATCTTAATAAGGACCAAGTCCTAACTGCTCCACTAAAAGATGAGCACCACTGTAGAAAGCAGCTTTAAGTAAACAGGGTAAACAGCAAGGTCTTAGCCTGAAAAGATGGTGCCAGACAACTACCTCTTGTGAGAGCATTGCACAGATGGGGTGAAACCACTGAAAAGTCCCATTCCTGTGTGGCCACCTTCCACATCTCCCTCAGGAACACACAGAAGGGTCTCTGATGAAGACTGCTGGGTCCAGTCCGGTCCTTGAAAATACTATAAATTACTTTGGTTTCTCCCAAATTAGTTTTTCAGAGTCATTTAAACTGCCTTTGTTCATTTCAGCTTACTAACCAATAGTTTAAAATGTCTTCTGTTTTAAAGTACTCAAATAATACTAATTTTGCATCTCCCAATCCATTCCTCATTTGTGTTAAATATGCAATCTGATTATTCTGTATCCAAGCTGCCAAAATTAAATAGTTTGTGGGCTACCCCCCCCCCAAAGCAAACTGTCAGTTTAGGCCTGTAATTAAAATTGGCAGAAATATAAGCATAGAATAAAAATGCAAACAAAACTATTCAGGTCTTCTATATATCTTAAAATGTAGTCTGGAAGTACTATATAATTGATTTTCTTGTAGGATCAGCCCAGTAATCAAAGGTGGAAGCAAGTTTACTTTCATGTTTAGAAAAATGACATATTCACTGACATCTGGGGTGTGAGCATACAAACAGATCTCTTTTTCACCTCTTGAGGTCAGTATAATTTAAGGAATAATAGTTCATTAGGGTTAGTTAGGTAATAGTACAAAGAACCACATATATATTTCTAGCCATTTAAGTTTGGCTTGTGTGCAGAGCTAATTTAATGCTGTTTTTCATTTTGTTAGAATTGCTACATTCTTAAAATCCCAATTTTAAATAACAGGTTTATATTATTTGTGTACATAAATTCCCATTTATACATATGGTTCAGTTTCATAGTTGAAAATGAGTGTGCATGGCTTCTTATCTCTCTATAAACAGTTATTTCATGAAATTTATGTTTGGCTTATCTCTTTGCTTAATTATGGTCAGAGTGGGCAAAACATTGTAATACATGACAGCAATAATCATTTATGTTTTACAAAGAGTTCAATGCAAGGTAATTGTATCTAACAAAAGATGGCAATATTCACAAACAAATAGAGAACTAGGATACACTTTCACTGATCTTAAGGAAGCCATAAGTAAACCAGAAAATTCAGAAGGGGGCTGTAGCAGAATTAAATTAATCAAGAAGGTAAACTCTTCATTTGGGTGTGAATAGAGACCACATTTTTCTTTCTCACTACAGAAGTTAACCCGGCATTGACAAGCTGATTGTTTTACCACCTATTACTGCTGTTACCAAGGAACATTGTGCTTATTTTTAAGACATTAGCTGCTATTACTATTATTATTGATTACCAGCCCTTCACCCAGGGCAGGTTGCAACATTAAAACACAATATTAAAAACAGTTTAAAACCATTTATTGAATTATTGGAAATTGAATAACAATTGAATATGTCAAATAATACCTGAATTATTGCTATCTACACTTCCTGCAGGGACGCAGGTGGCGCTGTGGGTTAAACCAGAGAGCCTAGGATTTGCCGATCAGAAGGTCGGCGGTTCGAATCCCCGTGACGGGGTGAGCTCCCATTGCTCGGTCCCTGCTCCTGCCAACCTAGCAGTTCGAAAGCACAAAGTACAAGTAGATAAATAGGTACTGCTCCGGCGGGAAGATAAACGGCGTTTCTGTATGCGGTTCCGGTTCGCCAGAAGCGGCTTAGTCATGCTGGCCACATGACCCGGAAGCTGTACGCCGGCTCCCTCGGCCAATAAAGCGAGATGAGCGTCGCAACCCCAGAGTCAGTCACGACTGGATCTAATGGTCAGGGGTCCCTTTACCTTTACCTTTACACTTCCTGCATGTTATTTCCCACTGACCCCAAAACTTAGTTCTTCTGTCCTCCTTACAGTCATGTCTAATTATCTGAAACTGAGGATTACATTTCATGTATGTTATGTAGTGGTAGACTCTAGTCCATGAAAAATTGTGCCATAGTAAACAAACTTTAGTTTTGGAAATGTCACCAGACTTTCTCTTGCTTATATATCGTTGAATCCAAGAGTACCTTAGGTGTGGAGAAAAGCCTTCACCTATGGTGGCAGTATCTTCTAAAAACTCAGGATGGTTTGGCCTTCCAGTGGTTGTGGCAGGACAGCTACAGGCCATAAAACATCATTGTGTTTAGACATGGGCCTCAAGCACTAAAGGTGCCTTCTCTTTTTCATCATGCCATGCCATGATGCCATTGCAACTTTTTGTAGTTGTGCAAAAATGAAAATAAAATCTGCTGAAGTAAATAAGTGAATTCAAATGTAGTCAATAAGCTGAAACTGAATGACAATTAATTACAAATTGATATAATTATTTAAAAATGCTTAGAGATCCTACTAACTTTAACAGTATTTGGAATTTATCAAATTTAGAAAGCAGCTTTCCCACATTGAGTGTCGTGCTTCACATGCTCTTTAATTGTGCCAGACTGACTAGGCCCTTCAATTTCTGACAGCTGAAAATAAATGTCTAATAAATACTTCTGTGAGCATTTGTTTAGCTGTCACAATAATATTGTTTCCAAGAAAATGAGTTATTTGTTCATGCTAAATCTTGCTTGAAATGTTTGCGCTCCGCTACTCCTACTGCTATAATAGTAAATACCTCCTTCCACTCTGAAAATTTACTAGATTGTCACTGCATCATCAGATGAATTGATGGACCCCGGCACATTTTAAAGGTTGATAAATAGGCGTCTGTATAATAATTTGGGATAGATATATTTATGGAGTGCTTTCTCCATGACTCAGCAGGGCAGAGATGACTGTGAAATGCAATTACCTTTTCCATTTCTTTTTCCAGTTTTCTTCTACTTCGCCATCCCACATGTTTTCCTCTATTTGTATCACACAGGCTTTTCTGCATTTGTTAAACCATCATGCTCTCAATCTAATAGTGTGCTGAAGTATTTGTTTTTATAGCAACAGCTTCTTTAAAAGGCAAGCAAGGCTGTTATTTTATATTTGAGGCATGAGTTACCTCTGCTGTGATCATGAATGTATTGAGCGAATACATCTGTTTTCTTCTACTGTTTGACAAGCAAAATGTTCCTATAAATTATTGGTTAGCTCTTATGACACACCAGTAATAAAATTAACCACAAGGAGAAATCATCGTAAGGAGAAAACATTCCAATCCCTCTGAAGTTACTCTGCTGTCAAAAGCTATCTCAGTTTTGCTTACAAAACCATATTCAAGCCTGAAGGAAGCACGATTCCTCTCATTTCACCTACATGGAGCAGGTAGGATGCATTTCCTTTTTTTACTTACTCCCAGGGCTGTTGCGGGTGAATCAGTATAAAGTTTATCAGTTCTTTTAAGCAACTAATTTTAAACTTGAATGCTGTTTTCTCCTAAACAACTTGGTTCTCTAGAGATGCAAACTGATGGTAGAAGAAATTATGCGAGGTTTGCTCATTTTGAACTTGAGAAGAAGTTCTAGCTTGTTCTTAATTCTTAATATTCAGCTACTTTATGTTGTTTAGGCTGATGTGTCAAGATACCTAATCTTTGAATTGGGTCTAATCTATGCTGCTTCATCCTAAACCTGAGCTGTAGTAGTAGTACTTGTGAGTTGTATCCAGTAGTGGTTCTGTGCTAGTGGAAGAACTTCCTTAAGGCAGGGCCCCTAAATTTTGCTGATCCCTCCTATCCAAATCAGTGCAGCACCCTGTGCCTCCCTCCAAACGTCTCTGGAACGACCTGGAACATGTCAGAGAGCAGTAAGTGAGAGAGGTGAAATGTGCTAGTAGAAGTACTTTCTCTTGCACAAAGCCACTATTGGGGGCGATTAGAGCAGGTCCAATAGAGGCATCCAAAGCCCTGCTTGTTTCATTTGTGCTACATTAGTTTCAATTATTGCAGCCTAAGGATGTGGTCAAACCTGCTACTCTGGGCCTCAGAGAGTTAAGCTGGCCAGGGACTGGCTTCCTTTTTGTTTGAATTTATAACTTTATTCTAACAAGACTCCCACTCTGGTCCTGAGATAGGCTCTGCATGTGGGTGAAATGAAGACTGAAGGGTTTTTCGCTGTATTTGTCAGTGGTGACATAGTGTCTGCCCTGTTGGATCTCATGCATTGTTTGGGGTTTCCTCTCCTTTCGTAGGCCCCAGAACCAAGCAAGCCCCTTTCCTCCCAGCATTCTACATGTTAGAGGCAGAAGATCACAAATGCATCTTTCGGGTAAGAGCTCCCATTTGTCAATATGACTTACTTGCCATAATCCAGGCAATGGGGAAAGTGGCCCAGATGTCAGGAGAAGTTGATTTCAGTGGGGTTGGCTTAAAAAAATACACAATACTAGGCTGCATCTATGAAGTGGGATCCTAAGGATGTAAATCAGAAGCCTACTGGAGTTCAATGGGCTTTACTTCCCACAAGTGTGTAGGAGTGTACCCAGTTTTATTTTTGATGTCTTAAGTCCATGACCCAGAAAAAAAACAATTATTAACTTGTGTAATATTTATTGATGTTAAACCCACATGATATCAGCACAACAATCCAAAGTAGTATGATTGTACATTTTTTTTATAAATACAAATAAAAAGAAGCAAAATGCTACTAGTGAAGCTAAACAAATATAGATTAGCGAGTCACATTTGAGAAAAGTTTGGTAAATGAATGATAGGACAGTTTTATATGACAGATTGTGTATGACAGTACAGATATGTAAGAAATGCTTATAACAAGCTGTAACCACTTGCAGCAGTTTGCATAGAAAAATAACTATTTTCTGTGCTAAGAGTTTATTAGCCGCTAAAAAAAAACCTGGTTTGTGTACTTAACATGGGTGCAAAGCAATACATGTATAGCAGTAATGCAAAATATATGGTGTGGTACATAATACAAAACTTCTCTTAAAAAGTACTGCACTTGAATAACTGAGTTGAGATAAAAGAGTCAACATTTTTATTATAAATAAAGTACTATAAACGTGCTTTGATAAGGAATACAGTGTTTTCCTTTTGTAGCAAAGTACTCTTGTACCATCAAAACCACATCTTTTTTTCCTGCCAGACTCAACTGAACTCTTAAATTGATTTTGAATGTTAAATGGCTTAATGCCTAAGTGAAGTCCAGTTAGATGCAGAACTAGTCTACATTCTGGAAGTTTGACTATTTTTACTTTCTTCACGAAGTCTCAGTCTTAGGCAGGGCTATTATTCATTGCTGCAGTAAGCAATAACACAAAATTGTAACATCTAGTACACATGCATGCAGTGTTTAAAATATAACACCATTTTCTTTATCATCATTCTGCATTCCCTCCTATTTACTAATCTATTCTCTGTGGTGTGCTTATCATTCAAACTCTTGCAGACTCACTCCTTTCCCCACGTACTCTATACTCATCACTTTTGTCATGGTGTTCTGGTCAAGCAAATCTCCAGTATGATGATGATGATTTAAAGCATTTGGGTAACCATGGAATTTCAAAGAGATGAAGTGCAATGTTTTCTCAAGACGCTTTCATTCTGAGAAACGTCTGTCCTACTGCCCCCGTCCTGTCCTGTCCCACTTACAAATTTTAATACTGTAAAATAATCCCATCCCATAATGTCCAGATTTTAAGTTATTTTATGACTTAGTCTGGCAGTACAGTTTTAAGTCAGCCACTTCTTGCCAGAAAACAAAGCTTTCAGGTGTGAAGCTTGCTTGCCTATCCTAAGTTTCTTTAAGCAAGCAGCCTCCTTTCCCTTGAGAATAGAAAACCATTTACAGAGATACTAATTTCATTTAGATGTCTCTTCCTTTCCCCCTTCCATCAGTATATTGCACATTTTTTACTGCTGTTAATCAGAATGTGTTGCTGATACACTTGCTGCTGTGTTGTAGCTTTAAAAAATAACTAGCATTATTCATTACGAGTTATAGCACCTACAACTTGCAAAAGGCACTTGGTGATAAGTTCTGCAGTGTGCTTGCTTCCGAAAAATCTCATTCACTTCAGCATTTGGCATTTGTGAATAGGGTTATTTAAAAACAGTGCTACCCCCATAGTAATGAAACAGTTATGGTGAAGGTGATGTTCATGTGTAGGGGCTGTACATTTCCATTGAATAATCACTACTTTAAATTGTAACAACGAGCAAGAAATACATGATTAAGGTGTTCTTTATCTTTTGCACACAATGGTGTTTGCCTTTCACATAAAGTGGCATAAATTATCATTGGTCAAGACAATGGCTTTCAGTGTTTTCACTTTGAAAGGAAATGGTAGGCCTGATAGCCAAGATTTACAGATCATCACTTTCTACCAATCCAGATTGTAGTGTCAGGTGTCCTGGGTTTGCTTCTGGCTGAAACGCAGCTTTGATGTCTAGTCCTTGGTCAGAAAGTGCTGCATATCGACTAGCTGAGGGACGCACCTTCTTTGGTTTGGTGGTCTGGGGCTGTTGCTGCCACTGAGCTGCAGAAAGGGAAGGAGGAAACAGTTTGCTGCTGTAACATAAGCACCACAAATGGAAAATTTAAGAGCTTGTTAGCCCTGGTTAAGAGGGAATTCCTCCAGCAACATATTACAGTGGTACCTTGGGTTACATACGCTTCAGGTTACAGACGCCACTAACCCAGAAATAGTACCTCGGGTTAAGAACGGCAGCGGGAGACCCCATTTGCTAAGGTGGTGCTTCAGGTTAAGAACAGTTTCAGGTTAAGAACGAACCTCCAGAATGAATTAAGTACGTAACCCGATGTACCACTGTATAGGAAATCTCCTTCACTCAATATTTCTCCTTAGTCATAAACTCATGCTTTGAGAACATTTAAGCCTGTATGGATTAGCCTGTAAAAGGAACCAGGAGGGCTTAAAACCCCAGAGAGCTACTGCCACTCAGTGTTGACCAGCCTTTCTCAACCTGGTGCCTGATGGATAGTTTTAGACTACAACTCCCATCAAACCCAGCCACCATGACCAATGATGATGGGAGCTGTAGTCAAAAACACTGGAGGGCAACTAGGTTGGAGAAGGCTACTGCAGACAATACTGAGCAAGATGGATCACTGGTTTCACCTAGTATAAGGCTGATTCCTATGTTTCTAACCTTCCTATGTACAACCATGGCTAGTAGTTCCACCAGCTGAAGCTTATAAACTTTAGAGAAATAATATGTAGAGGAGCATGCTTTCATCCATTTTCTGAAAACCACATGGCACACAAGGTACTCATCTCTGGCAACTCATCTTTTCCCCTCTTCCATTCTGTACCACTGGACCTTCTCTCTGATGAATTTCCTTCCTCTGCTTTCTTCCAGTTGCACAGATCTTGGTGAACTTGGCAACAGGATATGGGATTCACTCCAGGCAGTTCAGACACTAGATGCTTTCCCAACTGCGTGCAGCCAATCCTGACTGCACAGTGAGTGCATTGGTTTGATATGCCACTTATTCACACCTTACTTTGTTCTTCGGTTCACAACATGATTTTTTTTTTAAAAAATGTACAGCTTAGCTATGAGATAGTCTTATCCACAGGTAGTCAATGAAGCATGTCTGGATGGTTGCCATCTTTAATTACAAATCCACAGATATGCCGTGGACTGGAAAAACATGCACACCTCTGAACCTAGGGAAAGTGGAAGCAACGCAGAGCATTCTTCCAACCCCACCTGCAAATTTGAATATACGTGTGGAATAGGCTGTTAGGAACATTGGTTTGGTATTTCCCACATGGGCTGCAAAACTAGAGAGCTCCTACATTGTATAGACCTAACTTAAAGTACAATAATCATGGTTTATGGCTTTCAATAGAGCTAGGATGAGGAACTTGTGGCACTCCAGATGTTGGACTCCCCAACACTGTCCAAGCTGGCTGGGGCTGATGGAAGTCCAGGAACATCTGGAGGGCTACAGGTCCCCATCTATGACAGTGTATTGCTGTTCTACAGGGAGCAGCTAAACTTACTATAGACATCCAGCCTTGCTGTGCAGGACACAATCCCAGCCTCATTCTTTGCTGACACAGTGTACCAACCAGCATCTTCTTTTGTAGCTCCCTGAACAAGCAGGCAGATATAGCCATGGTTATCCTGGTGCATGCTGAAAGAGAAGTAAATAACAATAGTGGCATGGTTACGTACATTTATTATTTTAAATGATAGTTTCTTCATTCAGATTTCGAATTTAAGAGGCTGGTTTTCAGTTCCTTGAGCAGACCAATGCCAGGGATTAATTTCAGGATAAGCGTAAACCGAACCCACCCACCACTTTTTCAGGGTATACCTAGGCCCACCTATCACTTTTGGCAATGTTGCTCCCTCCCATTAGGAAATGAAAATATATAAAAATATATAACCCAGGTGGGAAAATATATAACCCAGGCTGGGGAAACTTAGCCAGATGGGTGGGGTACAAGTAATAAAATTATTATTCTTATTATTGGAGGGATGGGGAAACTGCAGCCCTCCAGATGTTGGACTACAAGTCCCATCATCCCTCTCACCATTGGCCATGCTGGCTGGGATTGATGGGAATTGAGTCGAGCAACTTCTGGAAGGCTCAGGTTCCCGGCACTTGATAAAACTAGCATCAGTGCAGGAAACCATTTGTCATCTTTTCCTCCCACTGTACTTTATTAATGTGCTGTACTGCTTCTGCACATCTCCAACTCCTGCCCCACCATGTAAACCTAAAACATTCTGCAAGTCTTACATTGGAAGCAGGTTCCTGACATCAAGGTGAGGGCTGGAGGTTTGCCACCCACTGTGTTCAATATTTATTACAGGTAGCTTTTAAGAATTCAGAAATAGCAGTTCTTTGTAAACCATTCCCAAGAAAATATATTTGTAATTCTTTTTTTTTTCTGCTAAGCTAGCATTTCTATTTAGAACTGCTTTAGAACTGTAATTTTCAGGGTTTAAAAAAATTACCGTATTTTTCGCTCTATAGGATGCACTTTTTCCCCTCCAAAAAATGAGGGGAAATGTGTGTGCGTCCTATGGAGCGAATGCAGGCTCCTTGGCTTCAGCGAAAGCAACGCGAAGCCTCCGAAGCGCAGAGGGAACGCTCCCTCCGTGCTCCTTGGCTTCGCGTTGCTTTCGCTGAAGCCTGGAGAGCGAGAGGCGTCGGTGCGCACCGACCCCTCTCGCTCTCCAGGCTTCAGGGATAGCCATGCACAGCCCCTCTGGCAGGGAGAGACTGCACACGGCTATGGCTTCTTTAGCCCTGCGCAGCCTCTCCCAGCAGGGAGAGGTTGCGTGGGGCTAAAGAGGAAGCCAAAACAGCGAGCTGGATCCATTCCGCTCGCTGCCTTGGCTTGTTCCATAGCTGCGCGCAACCCCTCCGGCAGGGAGAGGCTACACGGGGCTATGGCTTCCGGAAGGGAGAGGTTGCGCAGCCTGTCCGCTGCTCTTTGGGGCTGGGGTTGGAAATAAGATTTTTTTCCTTGATCCCCCCCCTAAAAACTAGGTGCACCCTATGGTCCGGTGCGCCATATGGAGCGAAAAATATGGTATATATAGCTGTAAGACCCAATGTAGATAACGATATGCTGATTGTTCCTTAAGGAAGCATCTGGTAGGTACAGTCCTGCCAACACATGTTATCAATAAGAACAAAAAGAAAGCTTATAATTCAGTTTCGTCTTGTAAACTGTCATTCTTTCCTATGCTGTGAACTGCAGAATCAGAGCCAGCTATAGTGTTTCCCACTGCCAGGAAACCCCAGCCCCTCCCTCCACCCCAACAAACCTAGCGCCATTATGGACCATCCACAGATCCAAAACCTACCCGAGAAATAAAAGCAAATGCAACCCCTGACCAACACAATACATGAAAATTTCAACGTCAAGCAGAGACTCAGAATAAACAAGACTAACCTCACTCTGTCAGTATTGTATGTGAGCGACTCGTTTTCTTTCTTCCAGAAGATCTGAGGGTGCGGCACACCTGAAACCCGGCATTCCAGTCGCACAGGATACCCCTCAGCTACACCTGTGTTTTGTAGCTTCTCTACAAATACAGGTGGCTTGTGTGCTTCCTTAGCTATAAAAAAAGAAATAACTTTTCTCTCTCCCTCATTTGAACCAATAAAATATCCCATACATATTTCCTTGCGTTTCCTGTTGGTGTTTCTGAGCAGCAGCAGCACATGGCATGTAGTGGCATTGGGAAAGCTTTTGGCATTTGCTGACTGTCCTTTGGCAGCAACTGAATTGCATCTTAGATTTTTTTGGGGGTGGGGTGCGATACAATCTGGTCAGACTCAAAATGACTTCACTAGGAGAGTTGTGCAGATTCTTATTTTTCTCCTCCCAAAATCCTAAGATCACAAACTTGAAGTGCTCAGGTGGTTGGGGATTGTGCTCAGCTTATAACTGTGCTTTTAACACACACAACAACAACAACAACAACAGGCCACTAGATGTTCTTCATCTCTTTAGAAGACGGAACATAGCTGACTTACCCACTTTAATTTTCCACTTGCAAAGGAGCCTTCTAAGAACTATCCTAGCTGCGTGGGAGCTATTTATGCATGAGTGAATTCACAGAGATGGGGTACCTACTAAATAATCCAAACACGTGAGCGTGGAAGGGGCTGATCTCAATGCTATTTCTAGTAGAGGTATGACACGTACACCCTTGAAGGCAGGGTGCTGATCCCATAGCTTACTTTAAACCAGTGATGGCCTAACTTGGCCCTCCAACTGTTTTGGGACTACCACTCCCAACATCCCTAGCTAACAGGGCCAGTGGTCAGGGATGACGGGAATTATAGTCTCAAAACAGCTGGAGGGGTGAGTTTAGCCATCACTGCTATAAGCCCACACATTATTGGCCATTTGTGGTTGGATCTTTCACATCTTTTGCCTGAAAACTGCTAACAGAGAAGGCCAGGATACCATTTAAAGATCCCCAAAGCCAAACACAGTTGTCTCTTCCTACAGTCACTCATTGCTCTGATCTCTGTTCAACTGTTGTACAGTGAATTCAAATTACCAATTCAAATTTAGGACACAACCCGCACTGTTCCTAAACAGTCCATATGCATTTTGATAGCACTGTAGGGAATGCAGAGACTGTTCACCCATCTGTAGTCCCCCCCCGCCCCGTTAATTATATACTTGTGAGCCTTTTATTTGTTACAGGAAAGCTGGTGCAGTGTGTTGTAAAAAAAAAAGGCATCAGCTGAAAGCCCACGCGTCAAACTCAGACTGTCAGGATTTTCAGGTAGGATTCAATCACCCCAGAAAATTCAGGCTGCTTAAATAAAGCTGGTTTGGAGCTCTTGGGCAACAAACCCCTTTTCCCAAAAGATCAGACTTTTCCTGATAAAGTAACTGCAAAATGCACTGGAAATTGCTGGATAATGATACGACATGGTCTGATCTCCAAAGACAGATCAGAGTTAATGCTCATTAAATAGCAGATGTCATCTAACCTCCACAAACAAATGCGGCTAAATGCTCATTAAACAATAGTCTAAGAGTGACCAGAGTGGCCTTAAGAAAGCCATCCCCTCTCAAAACCACTATTTCATGGCAGCCACATATCCCCCATCTCCCCAAATGTGAGCTGCTTAATTCCCACCCCACCGCTGAGAAGGTCTCTCTGGGAAAAATATTGATTATGCCCAAATCCTTAAAACCCCCAAAAGGAAGATGATTTATTGCCAAAGAGGCCAAATGCATCTTCAAAAAGAACACAGCAGAAAGCAAACTCTGAATTCCTGGGGAGCTCAGGCATGCCAAAATAAATTAAGTCTTGTACAGCTAGGCAGGAGGCAAGGTGTGGAGATGTTACCTGCAACGATCAGTTCCAAGCTGAAAGTGTTCTGACCAGCTCGATTGATGGCAACACATGTATAGATGCCAGCATCCCTTGCTGTGACAGGCTCTATGATCAGGGAGTGTACACCATTCTCCCGTACAAGCATTTTGTGGGAGCTGTCAGAACGTATAACTCTTCCATTGACTTGCCAGCTGATATCTGGTGTTGGTAAGCCACTGACCTTAAAATGGAACACAGAAGAAACCTCAGTGGGACAATAGCATGGAGAGACAATAGAAAAAATACAAGCATTTGTTTCATGAGTATCCAGTGTGAAGGCCCAGAGCCACTCCTGAGGGGGAGGGACCCCTCCTGTTTACATACATTTCCTCTTGTTTTTATTTCTCCCTAACCTTCAAGGCCATAAATGGATCAAAACCCATCACCACTTTTTTGGGGGGAGCAGGGCAGGGGAGGATTTCCAAGCACCTCCTGCCTTCAGTGGCAAAGTGTATTTCTAATATACATTCCATAATAGCATTAGGTATTGTGACACACAGAATGAAGCACTTTCACACGTGATCAGTCAACTCCTTACACTTTTGCCCTTGATTACCAAGAGGAGCAATCCTTTCAACATCCCTTTCTCTCCATAACAGCTGCATGGAGCCAAGTATTGAGAAAAGGAAAGGAAAGAAGGAATGTGTCGGGAAATTTATCACTGAACTTCAAATTCCATTTCAGCTATACATTCATCACTTCTTATACTACATATTCAGAATGCTTTGAACAAACCACAGCTTGTTGAAAGATGTGCATCATTAATAATACTTACTGCTTATAAAATGTTGTTTTAGCAACAATGTCATGAAAAGCTCAGGGAGTCTTCAAAAGCAGACAATTAAAATTCCGGATTGCTTAGTTCTGTTACGCAAAGCGCCTGAGCACCTTTCAAATGCAATCGTTTTCAAATTGTACCTCTGCACAAGAAAACTTAAGTGGGATAAAACAGGAGTGAGGAATATCTTTTAGCCCAAGGGCCACATTCCCTCATTGGAAATTTTCTGAGGGACTCATGCCAGTGGTGAGAGGAGTGAGGCAGAAGTGGGCAGAGCGATGGATGCAACTTTTACCTTTGCACAGAAAACAACATTACAGCAGCAAGACATAAATCAGACTGCCTAGACACCCATCTTTCTACCTAGGCAAGCAAGAGGCATCTCATTTCAAGGACATATTCCAGCCAGGGAAAAGCACTGGAGGAGGGGGTGGAGTAAGGCCACTGAAGGATGTGTCTTGGGGAAGAGGCAAAGCCAAGGGAAAGTCCTAATGACTAGATTGAAAGCTTGAGAGGGAAGCTGCCCAGAGTGGCTGGGGCAACCCAGTCAGATGGATGGGGTACAAATAATATATTAGAGGGCCACATTTGGATCCCATGGCTTGAGGCTCCTCATCTCTGGGTTCAAAGGAGGAACGAAAACTGAATGTTACAGATGAATATGCATGATATTTTCCTCTGTGCAGATGTATCTCAGTTCAGAACTTCAACATTGGTTCAGGTATCGACCAGTAGAATTACGGCCTTCACCTGGGCATGTGGCTTCAGTGAGGCAATCTAATAGTTGCGCTGATATAATGCAAAACACAGTAGTATGACAGCTTTGCAAGCAGACATTTGTACATTTCACAAGGAGGCATCAGAATGGGACATCCAACTACATCTGGCCATTTATTTACTTAGGTTTTAAGCTTGCCCACTCCAAATACAGTAGGATAAATTCAAAAATCATCATATTCCTTCCCAACCAGATGCAAAATTCTCATATTTCATTTCACAGGTCAAGTAATATAAAGGGTGAAAACCTGGTGGCATCTGTTTGATAGGCTAGCTAGAAATAGGAGCACAAATGTAGATTACCTTTGGTGTGCTCCTGGAATATTTCTGTCCTTCCTGCTTGCTTTGTTACAACAATGCATGTCTACTCTTCAGCTAGTCTAACTTCCTGGTAAGTGCGCAAAAGGTACAGGATTGCAGCCTTTGGCTCTATTTTGGAAACCCATGCATTCAAATCCACTAGAGGGAGCACATATTTTATCTATAAATCCATTACCAGAGCGGTGCTTACTGTTAACTTTTACAATGTCATTTTTCACGTGATAACATTTCATAAAACATTATGAATCTCTGCCTTAATAAATTTCAGTATCTGCTGGAGAAAGAAATAAAACTGCCTTTAAAAAGCTGAACTGGAATCCAGCCTATGCAGTTACGAAGTAATCTGATCAGGAATTCAACTACAACACAAGTTTATGGGAGTCATCTCTCCACAAGTGGAATACGCCTATTAGGCTCACCATTTCAACCAACCCCATGTATTTGACCCCCCCAAAAAAGTATATGATGATCGTAAAATCCAGTTGAATATGACCTATAAAGGTTAAAATAAAATTAAAAATGTACCTTGCAGTCCATTCTGCAAAGTTTTCCTTCTTGAACTATCAGATCTCCCGGGGCCTGCAGGAAATGAGGTCGGAAGAAACGCTCCTGGATTGGTTCATTTTCATCTCCACTATCCCTTGATCGAGATCGAGGTCTGCAAAAATATATAAGAGACAGAACGCATTCATTTTCGTTCCCAGGCTCTGCCCTAACTGTAGCCTTAGGTTAAGAGGTTTTTCATTATTGACATTATTCCCAAACCCTCAACAATGCACATACTTTTAAAATAAAAGTAAATATGACCAAAATGATGGACTAGATTCCACACATATGTTCCCTCACCTGTGACCATCAACACCCCTCCCCTAAACTTTCATTAATTTCAAAGTAGACTTTGAATTGGACTAAGATGAGAGGAATTTTTCTTATGTACCCTAAGCAAATTCTTGGCTTTCAGAAGAATTTTGGGGCAGGGGGAAGAGAAGGCTCTCTACCACAATACTGGTCAATAAAATGAGTAAGATGCAAGGGAGCAAAAGGCAACCTCTGCATGCCTACTAGAACATAAATTCAAATTGCTCCCTATTTATGAGTCACATAAGGTTTGCTCTGTTACGCACACATCCAAAACTGAGTGCTGACAGAAGCTCGAAAACATATGAAGTGCCAGATGTTAGCAACACCATCATGTTTCAATTAATTTTGGATATATTACACACACCCATACAAGAAAATCAATAAGAGACTGTGGAATTGTGCATTTAAATCAATCTCTCACTGGTGGACCAAATAGCTTGAAAACACACACACACCACATACCTAAATTGGACATTATGCTGCTAAATTTATCATGTGTAATTTATTTTAGTGAGAGAGATTCAAGGACACGCTTAATCATTTTCTGACAAAGGGTGTAGCTCAAACATTTTCTTATATTTGGCTGGATCACTACTTTTAGTTTTTCTTGATTTTCCCTCTTGCCTTTCTCTTATCATACACTTCTACATTTTTCTTCATCTTTGCAGTGTTTGAAAACATGGAAGTGTGCATGCACACTCTTAACAGTTTCTGCAGAACACACACAGCAGTGGCAAAGAGTTTAAAGGAAACCAGATCTCAATTCCTTACAGCAAACTGCCAGACAACTCCACAATTTTTTTTACTTTGCATTCCCCCAGCAACAGAAAGCTTTTTCTTGTGAACATCAGGACAAGGCTGCTAATTGCAGCTTAAAGTTGTCCTGATGTAGCAACTGAGTTCCACCAGGGTTTTCCTGGGTCCACATGCATATTGTATAGGGATTGTGCATCTTTGCTTCTAATTTTGTATGTTTATCATAGCAAACACCAGTGAAACCCAGGGACTGCATAAAGCCTGAAGCAACCTCTAACATACATTGCTTTGGCTTAGTGTGATGTGTAGACCAGGCCAATGCCATGCTAAGTGATTACACAAACTGCTCCCCTGATTGTTCTGTTGCTGTGCTGCACTGCGCCAAGCCATTGTTTAGCTTAGCATGTCATCCAGACCTAGGCATGTGGTTTAGTGCTTCCGGGTAAGCAAAGAGCTGTAAACCATGAGACAAAGTTTTGCTACAGCTAGTGGTCAGTCTTGAGAGAGAGCCAAACTAGGAACTCTGTTTTGGATGACATGCTAAGCCGAACTTGGACTTAGTGCAGTGCAGCAGCAAAATAAATGGGGAAGAGTCAAGCGGCTGGGATCTCCTACCCAGAAGCCTGTGTTTTTGGGGCTTGACGACATTATGTGGGAATCAGGTCTCTTCAAAATGGACCCAATAGTGGTTGGTTTTTTTAAATGTGTTGATAAGGAATTTAACATTCAGCCATTAAATAGCTTTGGACCCAAGTATTTTAAGCAGTGCTTTCTCTTGCATACAAATCTGCCAGGAAACTAAGGTATACTTTCTGAGGTACAGCAGTTGACTACAAGAGAAAAGGCCTTTTTAGTAGTGCACCCAAACCACAGAACCCTAGCCCGAGACATGCACCTAGGGTGTTCTGCAAATTTCACTTGCAGTCTCCATTTCATATATTTAACATTTTAACTATTTTACCACACAGTTCAGCGGCACCTAGAATCAGGATTAGGTTGAACATTTTAGGCATCTAATACAGAATTTCCTATGACGAACTGTTAACTTTGTCAAGAGTGTTGGGAATCAAAGCATTACCAGAAATAAACATGGAAGTATTTATTTCTGTACTGGAACCCAAAAGGACTCATGTTAGAACTCTTGGGAAAGATGTGCATATGCCTTTGGTACCTTCTGACATGCGGCTGACTAGGAGGTGTCCGGAGACTACGTCCTCTCTGGTTGACAGCTTGGACCATCAGCCTTCCTGTACAGCTTACCCTGCCCTATCAAGCAATGGAAGAAAAATACAGATGTTATACATTTGAAAAAAAAACAAAACAATTATGCTGTCAATATTAATTAACATTGAAGACTACACCAAGTGTTACGCAGTTGTACCAAATGCTTCCACTGGAGAGAATCCTGTATTTCCCACAGCTGGTGTGTGCGTGAAAGAGAGCAGAGAGCTAGATGCCACCAAGGACATTATAGAGGAGCAGAGGATGCCACAGGGGAATCTACAGAAGGGCAAGAAAACCCAGGGACTCTATAGAATAAAGGCACAGAGAATGTGCATCAATGTCTACAGCAATCACCAATGGCAGCTCCAAGCTTTGTCTGGCTGTTGGGCAGGATTGCCCCAGGCGGATCCTTCCCTCTTCACCATCACAGCTGCTATTCACTTGCTTGTCTTTTCCGTCTCGGCCCAATCTACATTGTCACCCGGCTGTTATTACTCGGTTACTAAATTACTACTGCTATTGCACTGAAAAATTTGTGTTTGCGTATGGGACGTTGTTACATTCTGGGGAAAACCAGGCATGGCGAGTTAATAGGTAACTTATAACAAAGTAGCACATTAAGTCACACACCCCTGGGATTTCAAAGTCACACCAAAAGCATACAAAACCAGCTGTACAAACACAGAAAGAGCCTGTAGCCAGTCAGCTATTGTTTGCTTGTACAAATATCTCTCCCTCCCCCCCACCAAATAAAAAATCTAAGAGGTAGAACCAGAAAGCTGAATGGAAAGAGCAATAAATATTTCTGGCATGTATTCTTATGCGCTTGAACAACAAGGAATTTGTTTTCCAAAGCATGAGGAAGGCTGTGACAATTACACCACCACCACCACTACTACTTCTTCTCCTTCTCCTTCTGATACTTAACATTTTAAGAGCACCTTTGAGTATTTAAAGGACTTCATATACATTAGTTTTATTTATTTTGTACATTTATGACCTGCGTCTTTCTTCCATCATGTAACTCATGCTGCAGCATCCAGGGCATTCTCCCCTTTAGGCACCGACCAGAATATCTGCTCACCCTCTCCAGGGGTGATGTGGCACTTGCAGCCTGGTGACTCACCTATCACCACCTGCCGTACTGCTGTGGATCTTGCTTCTGACAAATTCCCCTCTCCTGCCAGCTGCTGGAATTCAAAATGACTGCTTGAGTGGGAGCCTCTGCTTCTCCCTCCAAGGTGGTGTCCCATTAAAGGGATGCCGGGGAAGGTGCTTTGGGGCAACAGCATTCGCCCACGCAGCAAGACTGGGGTGGTGGTGTTTGCACCCACTTTATGTATGTTATGGATCAATCCCAGATACGGCCTTGACCCCTGGTATCCCTCCAGCAGGTGGGCTGGAAGTGAGGGTGGCTAGCCCAATGCCATGCCAAACTCACTGACATCTGTAATAAAAGTTGTGGCTTAATTTATTCCACAAAATGTCAGTGGTTTTGGTTTCACTGAGCCGTCCTGATGGGGCGAGTTTATGGCATTTGGGCATGCAATCAGACTCACTCAGCTTTCTCAAGGCAGCTGCATCATCTTCCCTCCTCACCGTGCCCTGGGATCAACACCCCTGTAAGGTATGCCTGTATTATTATTCCCCATATTTCTAGGTGAGGAGGCAACTCAGTTACTGTAAGCCACCCAGATAACTTTTAGGTTATGAGAGTATAAATATGTCTTAAGTTGGTTTTTTTTTTAAATCCCATTGAAATACAAAGGAGGAAAAACATTTAAAAGAAGGGTACTAAATAAATACAGCACGCCAAGTTCATAGTAAGAGAAAGGATATCTGAATAAAGGGATTTCCAAATTTGTAGCACAGTCTCTTGGCCCTTTATCAATGTGTTCTCCTCCCTAAAAGGACACAAAATGTAAAGTTAAACCAGCAAAGGGTTGTTGTTTTTTTAAAAAAAAGACTTTACTGTCTTCTTATAAGTATTTGAAATGTGTAATTAGTCTTTTGGTGAGGATGACAGAGTGTACAGAGTGTAGTAAAAAAAATTAAGAGTGGGCCCAGTTTGCAAACTGGAGTTAAGAGGTGAATCCTAGGTCTGGAGAAGCTGAAAAACTAACAAGACAAGGGTTGGGAACTTGTGGCCCTCAGTATGTTGCTGCACCATAAAGCTCATTCAAAGAAGAAAGTTGGGTCTTTGTAATCATGATATCACTGCGCTTGTGTTTTCCCTGGAGCTGCATTGGACTAACAATTCTACAACAACTTTTTAAAAGCCGTAATACATTTTGCAAATGCAGGCTTCAAGCCAGCACACAATTATGTGTACTTGAATCTGGCTAAAATCCAGTGGGACTTAAGCACACATAATTATCTTCTGGATTGTACTTAGGATTATCAGGTCCTTGCCTGCAGTTGATGTCTGTCTAAAAACTCTGCAACAGAGAGAGCATTATTCTCTGCTACCCACTCAAGTCCACCATTTTCTCCTGTAAGTTGTGAGGCAAAAGTAGAAGCCTGTTCTGTGAAATGGGTGACCATAAGAGAGAGGACTTTCTCTGTGGTGCCTGCACATCTTTGAAATTCCTTCCCAGTAGACCTGCAGTGGGCAGTTGACACTTCAGGCTTTTGTTGTTATTGTTGTTGTTTAGTCGTTTAGTCGTGTCCGACTCTTCGTGACCCCATGGACCAGAGCACGCCAGGCACTTCTGTCTTCCACTGCCTCCCACAGTTTGGTCAAACTCATGCTGGTAGCTTCACGAACACTGTCCAACCATCTCGTCCTCTGTCGTCCCCTTCTCCTTGTGCCCTCCATCTTTCCCAACATCAGGGTCTTTTCCAGGGAGTCTTCTCTTCTTATGAGGTAGCCAAAGTACAGCGGTGCCTTGCAAGACGAAATTAATTTGTTCCGCGAGTTTTTTCGTCTTGCGGTTTTTTTCGTCTTGCGAAGCACGGTGTCGGAAAAGTTTTGGAAAAGCTTCAAAAATCACCAACGTCTTCAAAAACCTCAAAAAAGGCTACCACACCGCGTGCTATGAGTTGCTCCTCGAAGTCAAGTCGCAACTGTATTAACAGTTTTAAGAAAAGGAAACAAACTTGCAAGACGTTTCCGTCTTGTGAAGCAAGCCCATAGGGAAAATCGTCTTGCGAAGCAACTCAAAAAACCAAAAACCCTTTCGTTTTGCGAGTTTTCCGTCTTGCGAGGCATTCGTCTTGCGAGGTACCACTGTATTGGAATCTCAGCTTCAGGATCTGTCCTTCCAGTGAGCAATCAGGGCTGATTTCCTTCAGAATGGCTTTTAGAAAGGCCTTAAAGACCCATCTGTTTTAATGTCCTTCCCCAAGTAACACTACACCAGATAATAATACTAATACTAATACTAATATTTTTTTATATCCCACCCATCTGAGTGGGTTGTCTCAGCCACTCTGGGCAGCTTCCAACTTAATAAATACTACACTGAACAGTATTTCTTAACAGTGCAACTTTGGTAGTTGGCATTAAAATCACATAACCCCTAGTGCAGGGTTTCCCAAACCTGGGTCTCCAGCTGTTTTTGGACTACAACTCCCATCATCCCTAACCAGCAGGACCAGTGGTTAGGGATGATGAGACTTGTAGTCCAAAAACAGCTGTTACCCAGGGGAATTCACATGCACACTAGCAACTTAAAAAGCAACTTGTGCTGCTTCTTCCTTACCGGCAGACTCACTTCTAGTTTCACCTCAGTGACTTTCTTCACTGAATATAAGTTGCCTTTTAAACAAGGCCTACTCAAATAAGCTTTTTTTTTAATACTAAATGCTCATTTCAACCCACAGGCAGCACTCTACACAACTTGTAAAACAACTTTTGGCACAATAGCATCTTCATGCTCGAGACTGCATTCATATGAGTAACAAAAGGCAACAAGCATGAACAGAATTGTAGGCAAGCTGAAATTATGTGCATTTGAATCTTGTTCATGTTGGCGACTTAGCAAGCCCACAAACAGTTAAGTCAGTGGACTACTGGAACCCAAGCAATGATCAGTGAGAGCAAACTAAAAGTTGAAGCCCATGTTCCCATTATCCTGGACAATCTAAATAACCAAATTACTGCCCATGGCCTGGGAATGAGTTCTTAAGTGAAGTTTTTACAGTGCACAGAAACATCTTTATATCTCTCCTTTGGTCATCTCTATAAATTAGTCTTAACTATCAAGAGACGAGTACACTTGCTTCTTTTAAATTTACTATCTTCACCCAGGGTGCAATCCACACTCAAACCCCGTAAGATTGCAAAGCATCCCTTGTCCTGTTAAAAGGCAACTGCTGCTCAGGGAGCACACTGTCTCACTTAATTCTTCATAGGGTGTTTCCATGCTACATGATGTTGTTGCAGAAGGAGCTAAAGGAAGAGAAATTAAAATGGCTGTTTTTAAGTCATGTGTAGTGCGGTGCCTTCTGACAGATGATGGACTACAACTGCCATCATACCTGGCCACTGGCTATGCTGCCTGGGGTCATGGGAGTGGAAATCCATCATCATCTGAAGGGGGCAAGATTGGGGAAGGCTAGGTTGCACTATTCAAAGGTATCTTTTCACAACTACTTTTGAAAAGATTAAGCTGGTCAGCTCATTACCAACCTACTTAAATCTTCACTCAAACACCCTCTTATATGGACGCATTAAGCGCATCTGTGCTAGCTTTGAGGCCTACAGGCATACTTCCATTATTGTTTAGGATTACAAAGCATGGCGTATTTCCATTGGGTGATGACGCTACGCAGTTGGAATCTACATCTTCTGGTGTGAAAAGCTCATGCGCCGATCCACTGCTGCCCTTAGTCTCTAATGCACTGTTAAAAGCATACTGGAACTATGCTAAGGCCAGGAGACGTAATTGTGTTTATTTGGAAATTATACCGTGACGAGAGAATATAAAATGACTAGATGAACCAAGCAAATGCTTGTCTTCGTTGCATAATAAATAAACTTCCAGATTCACATCCAGAGAGTTCGCTGATCATTTTCCAAAATAAATACATAAATCAAGCACCCCTTTGTCCTTCAGCCAAAGAGGAATATAAGCAGAACATTTTTAATTTAATTTTTTTTTTTAAGGAAAGCACTGCTTCAGTTGTTGCTTATGGTAATGACTAGTACTTAAATAATCAAAAGATGCCTGGTGACCTTCACAGAATAATGCTACCCCCATAAATCTTGAGCACCCCAGAGATTGTTCTGAACGCTCAGATAATAACAGGTAAGAATTCAGCACAGTTGACAGAGTGGCCATGATCCACAAAAGCAGGCCCATCCACAAGCACAAAATGATGCATCTCAAAACATGCACCGCCACTGTATCCCTAACCCATTTTATCAACAACTCTGCAGATCCTGAGAAGTAATTTCACATGCAAAGGAGGAGGACTGCTATTTAGAAAAGGGGGGAGTGGAGGAGAAGACAAGCACTCTGGGGAACACATAATAGAGCCATGCATACCTAGAATGCTCATGGGACTGTAAGCCAAGATCTCTGACTAGATTATTAGGGCAAATAAAGATTTTTTTTAAAAAAAAACTTGCTGCACTAGGAAACACTCTACAAAAGTGTCTCTAAGCCTATTGTTTCCTTCTGTATATTCCCTGCTATGTTCCAGTCCACACATTATCCCTGAGTGCATGCACACTCAAACATTCAGTGGTAAAAAACAACCACCCTGCATTGACTTAAGGTTCACGTGCATCTGTGGCAACTGGATTTGGAAATGGCTTGTTCCTCAACTAGACTCTGTCTCCAGCATCGCTTTCAGATGGGTGTATCGCCTGTGTGTCCACATGAGACCCTGTCCTAGATATGCCTCCTGATTAGGTAAAGGACCCCTGACAGTTCAGTTCAGTTGCAGACGACTCTGGGGTAGTGCGCTCATCTCGCTTTACAGGCCAAAGGAGCCGCCGTTTGTCCACAGACATTTTTTTCCAGGTCATGTGGCCAGCATGACTAAGCCGCTTCTGGCGAAACCAGAGCAGCACACGGAAACACTGTGTATCTTCCCGGCGGAGCAGTACCTCTTTATCTACTTGCACTTTGATGTGCTTTTGAACTGCTAGGTTGGCAGGAACTGGGACTGAGCAACGGGAGCTCACCCCGTTGCAGGGATTCGAACCGCCGACCTTCCGATCGGCAAACCTTAGGCTCTGTGGTTTAGACCACAGCACCACTTGCGTCCCAATGCCTCCTGATTAGGTGGAGGCAAAGCTACAGTAGTGCAGAGATGCAAAGAACTGCTATGTCTGAATGTTCCTATAAGTCCCTATGCAGAGATGTGGCAAAACAACCCACTCACAGCAGAGGCAGATGGGAAGCAGGCATGGTCACAACACTGGATTGGAGAGAGATACAGCAGTCTGCTTCATTTGTGGACAGATATTTGGATCTTACAGGGGGTTTTATTTTATCCATGGGCCTTTGGGGATATATCACAAAACTATGGTTTGGTGGTGTTATGTGACAGAGCCTTAGGCTCAGAAGCTATCCTGTCCTCTCAATTCTTCACTTCTACTTTTAAACTAAATGATGCTTCTTGTTATGTCAGAACTTATATAAACTCTGGTTAGTTTAAACTGGCTAGTAAACGAGTCAGGATCATGAACCATGGTTTCATCCTGAATTGATTAAATTAACCTGAACTTAACCTAATCAAAGTTTCCCCAAGTTAAGACGTAACCAAGAACACTTCTTAGTTTAAAAGTGGAAGCTTCCAATATCCTCCTCATGGCTGCACCAGAGAAAGAGAAAGGGATGAACTCAAGTCTTGTGCATGCAATGCTACAACATAGCTTAGTCTTATGTCTGAACTGGCACAATTTCTGTCAGCAATGCAGTGTGCCCTAACAGAGCTCAGAAATTACTACTGTAGTGTCTACATGCATAATAGGAAATGTTATATATGTTCACAGCAGTAATTTTCTGTAGACTCAACATTTATGTTTCATGGTTTTCTAATATTTGTGATACCAAACCAAGTCCGATGTATTTTACACAAAAGGGTGGGGGACAGTGGTGGCTCTCAAGCCTTTCAGCAATGGAACCATTATGGTTAAGTAGCCTAGCAACGTTCATAACAGACTACAACACTCTCAAAGAGGATAAGCTGTGCTTTAGTGATAGAGCTCATTATTTTAAAATGTAATCCTACTTGCAATTTGGGTTTGGAAAGATCTTTGGTGCTACACCAAATATATTTTATTCTTTTGACTCTTAAGATTGCAATCTAGAAGAGGGAGGGAACAAAGTAGGTGTCTGGAAAAGGATGTGCCAGTAAGCACACTTCAGCTGCCATTCCTTGCCTGAGAACAACCCACACTCAGTTGGATGGCCTTACAAATAGTAATTATGCACAGCGTCAGGCTGTTGTTGCTTTAAACCAGGGATGATGTCAGGGACTGTGCTGAGGAGAGCTGCGCTGAGGAAGAATGGTGGGAGTCACCCCCTCCTCCAGATCCCGATTCTTCCCTGGAGAAGGACAGTGTAGATTTGGAACAGTGGTTTGCAGAGGGGCATAGTTCAGAAGGCAGAAGCTGGGAAATACTGGATGGGGAACAGCTAGCAAAAGAAACACTAGAAGAGAAAGAGTTAACAGATTCATAGTCTCTGGATAGTAGCCACCCCTCTTCCCCAAAATCCCAGAGAGCTCAGAAAGTGGCAGAACAGAAAACATAGCAGCTCTAAGCCCAGATCACAAGACACAGGAATAACGTAGCTTAATAGGTATGGAGAGGGGAGTGCATTTAATTGGGAGCGCCGCTATTTCAAGGAGAGGTGTTCTTTGTTCTCTCGCTGTAGTTATTAAAGTTTCTAACTGGTAAGAAGACTCCTTTTCCTTTGTTCTGTTTATCTACTGCCAAGGGGGCGGGGAGGAAGCCAATTCCCTGAAGCTTGACAGATGAGGACCTTGTGCCCCTGTACGTCTTTCTAGAATCCCAACTCCCATCAACCCCAGCCATCATGGCCAACTCTCAGGGGTGATGGGAACTGTAATTTAACAATACCTGAGAGAGCCCCATGTTTCACACCCCTGCTTTAAAACACTCAAGGGTGGTAATAAATGTACCATAAAAAAAACTCCTCTACCTCAGGGATGGTCAACGTGGTGCCCCTCCAGACATTGCAGGATCACAATTCCTATTATTATTATTATGCTTAATTTATTAATCACCTTCTGAACCACTATTTGCACATAAAATCATTAGAAGCAGCTAAAAACAAAAGAACAACAAATGCATTTAAAACAAAGAAGCAACAGTAACAAGTAGGCATGCCTCACTATTAGCCATGCCGGCTGGGGCTTATGGGAGCAGGAGTACAACAACATATGGAGGGCACTGCACTGGCTACCCCTGCTCTCTAGCCTACTGGAGATGCAAGTAACACCACTTCTTTGGTCTCAGGTTGTCATGAAACAACCTCCCAGTGAGACTGCTGTGCCAACAGTTAAGGGCCTACTTTCCTTCTGGAGGATTCCGCTCTGGCGGTCACATTAGTTGACAAGCAGGTTTCCGACCTTGCTTCTGAAATCTTTTACCTAAACAGAGCAGCATTTGTTGACCCAAGGTTCCGAAGGGGCAACACAGGTTAAGAAGCGAAAG